TGTGCTAAAAGGCGCAGTCTCAGTTATGTGTGCCCTTACTGTATTTAACACACACATAAGGCGCACTGGACCATAGGGCGCATACAAGTAGCGTATGCGTATTTAAAAATAAAGCGGGAACAAACGTGAATTCGGTACCTTACTCACATTTCTATTGCCGGTAATCGTCATCATCAACAACACACAAGCATACAAGTGTGCATATTTAAAAATAAAGCAGGAGCAAAACTGAGTTTGGTACTCACATTTTTATTACCAATAATCGTCATCATCAACAACACACAAGCATACAAGTGTGCGTATTTAAAAATAAAGCAGGAGCAAAACAAAGTTTGGTACTCACATTTTTATCATCAATTAAACCCATCGAAGTCCTCATCCTCTGTGTCTGAATTGAACAGCTGCGCTAAATCTCCATCAAACATGCCAGGTTCACTGTCTTCACCGTCAGAGTCACTTTCCGTGCCGTGCGGCTCCTCGGAAACGATGCCGGCTTTTGCGAAAGCTCGAACAACAGTGCCAGCAGACATGTTAGCCCAAGCATCTACAATCCATTGGCAAATTGTGGCGTAACTCGCCCGGCGCTGCCTTCCGCTCTTAGTGAAACTGTGGTCTCCACCGGTCATCCATCGCTCCCAGGCCGCTCGCAGCCTTACTTTGAACGGGCGGTTCACACCGATGTCCAGCGGTTGGAGTTCCTTTGTCAGGCCTCCCGGAAAGACAGCAAGCTCACAGTTCATTTGCTTCACAAGTTTTTTCACATCGGCTGTGAGATGGGCACGCATAGAGTCACAGATCAACAGCGATGGTGATGCGTGGAAAAAACCACCTGGTCTCCTTACATACACCTCCCTCAGCCACTCTTTCATCATTTCCTCATCCATCCAGCCCTTTTCATTTGCCTTAATGATGATTTCTGCTGGAAACTTCTCTTTAGGCAAAGTCTTTCGCTTAAAAATCACCATAGGCGGCAGTTTCTGTCCATTAGCATGGCAGCCAAGCACAACAGTAAAAGAAGACTTTTCATACCCCGTTGTGCGTATCGCTACCGTGCTGGTCCCCTTCTTCTCCACAGTGTGACTCACCGGGATGTCAAAAGTGAGCGGGACCTCGTCCATGTTAGTGATGTGGCTGGGCTGGATGTTTTTGTCGCCGATGTGTTTGCTGCAGTAGGAGCGGAAGATGGCCAGCTTTTCCTTATAATCCGCTGGAAGTTGCTGCGCTATCGTAGTCCTGGTCCGGATGGAAAAATGGCACCGTTTCATAAAACGAAAGCACCAAGACGGACCTCCTTGGAAATGTTCAATGTTCATCTCTTCAGCTAGTGAAACTGCTTTTAGCCGAATGGTGACCGTCGAAACGCTTCTCCCGCTCGCTCTTTGCTCGATGATCCACCTCTCGAGTCTTTCCTCCAACTCGGGCCACCTCGCCTTATGTCCGCGGAAACTCAGCTGCGTTTTCTTGACCTGCCGGAGCTTGTTTTCCAGCTTCCTCCATTTGCGAACCATCGATTCGTTTATCTTAAATTCTCTCGCCGCTGCTCGATTTCCATCTTCCTCCGCGTAGCTGATGGCCTTCAGTTTAAACTGTGCTTCGTAAGCGTGTCTCTTTGCCATTTTCAGGGTTGTTAAAACAACGATGTCCTGCATAATGCACATACCTGTTCTTTTATACAGGTATGTGCGATTGTCCCGGTATATACGATCAACGCCCACACTTCACCCTTTAACGTTCTCATGGTGTTCTCTACTACGTCCTCCTTACAACACATAGGGCGCACTGCGCTATAGGGCGCGCCGCACTTTTTGAAGAAAATCTAAGACTTTTAAGTGCGCCTTATGGTCGTGAAAATACGGTAAGTTAGCTGGATTAGATTGTTGACGATTTCGCGTGATCCTGGATCGTTCGGTTCCCCGAAGCCCATCCGGGACTTGCTGTCATAGCAACAGAGCCGTAAGCGTAAACCTGCTGGGGAGCAGGTTTACTTTATGTAAACAGGATTAGATCGCGGCCACGCAGGTATGCCCGCTTCATTCATACGAAAGCAACAGCGATATTCCACCACTGTTTCACCATAAATAAATAACATCAATGTAACTAAAGACAATGCAGCACCTGATCCATTTATTGATTTCACACAGATACATACAGGTCATTTCCTAAAAAAGGGAAATGTACTATTAACATTCTATTACATGTATGTGATTATTACAGATGTAATTCATATTTCAGAGTAGCAATTGCAAATTACTTTGTGTAATCAAGATGAGAGACCACGGCTATAAAAGCGAAGGTGGATTTGGGAAGCCTGTCGCAGCCATGTCCTGTCCGTATACGCGAGCCACCCATTGCGGAAGGTGCAAGATTGATAAGGAGAGTCCTCAGAATTCAGCGTATATTGCGGGACAGACAGGATCCTTTAGCTCAGCGCGACAGTGTGCTCATAGAGAGATATCGATTTTCCCGTGAGGATATTATTTACTTAACCAACTTGTTGACGAGGGGGTGCAGGACCACCACCTGTCTTTTTTTTTGCTCTGCCCTTTTCTTGGTTGCTGTTATAAACAAACAGATTATTTCAGGGTCTCTTTCCAAGAGACGAAAAGCAATATAAGTGATAAATATTACCATTCTGTAGAATATTCTTATATTTCACTTTTACCTGTTCCCATGTTCTAGTGGGTCCTGTTGTGGCTCTAATGTGAAAGGGGATATAATATAACATATTATAATATAATATAATGTAATATAATATTGGATAATATAGTGTGATATGATAAATCTACCCTACCGCCTACTGGTGTTGGCCAGAGGGGCCGATGGCGCGATATGGCAGCCTGGCTTCTGTCAGTCTGCCCCAGGGCAGCTGTGGCTACAACCGTAGCTGCCTCCACCAGTGTGTGAATGTGGGAGTGAATGAATAGTGGTATCGTACAGCGCTTTGGGTGCCTTGAAAAGCGCTATATAAACCCACTCCATTATTATTGTTATTATTAAATTACTTACGAGTTTAATTTGTCAGCAACTTTCTGCCAGCCCTCTCTCCTTGCTTTTGCAGCCTTTGCAGTGTTCCCTTGCGTTCTGATTAAACTCTGAAACTCCTGAAATCCCTCACTCAAGAGTTCTTGCTCTGCTGCCGAATAATACCGAGCCGAGCGCGCTCCGTCGACATTTTCGCCGACCAATCAGAGGGTTGCCGATCAATGTTTCCACTATCGATGCGTAGCCCCTTTTACGACACCCAGTGATGTCACATTACTGCGTCCAGCTGTACTAATCGTCAACAGCAGGTGTGTTCGGGGAACCGGATTAGCGCGCTCACGGTTAGCGCGATGGTTTGGTCTTGGATGTTTCATTTGATCTTGGATGTAGTAAGCGACGTACGAAGCACAGGGCCCAGGTCTCCATCACTGTTTGTTGTTTGCTACTTCCTGTTTCATTTTGCTAGTCTCTTGTATCATGTGTGTAGTTTTGAGCTCCCTTGTCTCGTTAGATTCTGTTCACCTGTGTCGTGTTTTCCCCAGCTGTGTCCTCTCTCCTAAATTACCTCATGTATGTATTTAAACGGTTTTCTAAAGTGGGTTTTTTTTTGTGTGTCATTGTATCGAGTGCAGGGGAACAGTCAGGCTAACTTGATGAACAAAAACTCACCTTTATTCAGTCAAACCCAAAGCAGTAGAAACAGAAAATCCAGTGATCCAGGTGGAGAAGATAGACTCAGGCTGACAAGCAGGAAAAACTGTTTGATGCAGGGAAGCCAAGATAACTGAAACAAGGAAGTGAGTACACACAAAGTAAATAACTAGACCTAAAATAGACCAAAGGACATAAACAAGAAACCAATCTGAGGTCCACTTTATCTTCACCACCACTTAACAAACATGCATATTTTAGATTGTGGGAGGAAGCCAGCATTTCGTCTGTCACCTGCTCACTTTGTTCCATTTAGTTGAACCTCTTGAACTTTGTAGTTCATGTTTATTTAGTATTTTGAAAACGGTTCTGCTTTTTGCTAATTTTGCCTGCTTTGTCTGAAATGAGCTGAAAGTGACCTTTTTATTCATCATGAAACCGAAAGAGTTTAAAAAGTTTCCTTCCCTTTGCTATTGGTCAGACAGGCTGGCCTAGTATTTAAGAAATTCTTGGATTTTCTCACACAAACATCTCTGGGGTTTACAAAGAAAACATCCGGTGGTTTGGGGGAAGATGCCTTGAGAAAGGTCAAACTGCTTCGACCTGAAAGAAAGGCAACAGTAACTGGGCAGGCAGCAAACATCTCTGAATGCATTACGTGTTGAACCTTGAAGCACATGTGCTACAGTAGTAGAAGACCTCTCTGCCATTCAGGCTACTGCTAGTGGTGTAATGGTGTGGGGGATATGTTTTGAGTTCACTGTACTGGGACTGCCACCACAGTCACTAGATATCAGTCCAGTAGAGCACCGCTGGGATGTGGTGGAATGGGACAAATCCCAATGAATGTTTTCAGCACCTTGTCGAATCCATGCCACAAAGAACTGAGGCAGTGTGCACCTAATAAAATTGCCAGTAAGTGTTTCTGGCGTCATTAAACATCCATACTGCCCATAGCTAAAAGAATTCATGTCATTTGGCTCTATGGAAGTCTCATCAGTATGCACTATTTTCCATAACTAAATAAAATGTACACGAGAAGATCGCGAAACAGAAATTCTCCATTAAATCCAGCCTGTCCATTAATTACATTGAGCATGGTTGGGTCAACAGAGCAGTGGAGAGCATTGATCTTCAGCAAAGAACAAAGGCAGCACATTTATTTTTCTCCTGTGTCATGTTTAGCTCAAAAGTAAAGCTTTTTTAACTCTTATAACCAAAATATTGCACTGTGTCGTTTTTACTCGTGTAAATACCACAAAACTCCCAAACTGTTCTCCTTTAATGGCCAAGATGTCATCACAATATTATGATTATGTGTAAAGATATGGGGTGAATGCATGGACTACTGAATGTTAATCACATGATTAGAAAGGGAAATTTGAAGCACTTTATTGTCGAGTTGCAACATTGTTAACAGTCATTTAGAAAAAGTTACACAAAGTGTGTGTAAAAAAATAAAAAAAAGTTTCACATCAAGAAAACAAGAAGTACTAAAATACACATGATTAAACTTAAAAATCACTATTCTCACTGTTGCCCACAGAATTATTACATTTATGTATTATCAGAAAATTTGGACATAAAATAACTTTTCAGTTTCTGAGTTCTAGAAAACACGTCTATGATGGCAAGACACACGTCCAAAATCTAAACGTACTCAAAAAGTGAAATCTAATACAAACTAATTGGTTTATTTTTTCCAAATAAAGAAACTTGATGCGAATTATGGGGTTTATACTGTTAGCCTCATGCTGATGAGAAGTTTTGTGTAAAGCCAACTGTAGCAGTGAGTCCTGCATTAACGAAACGTGAGCTGAACTGAAAACAAATATTAAAACACCTGGAAAGCCTGACACACCCACTGAAGGTTATTACAAAAAGTACCTTTACAGGTCGACTCTTTCCCATTTCAGATTAAATTAACAGTCTAATGATTTTCTAATAAATTAATCATGTTCAATGAACATTAACACCTTTAATTTTAATGGTTTTGCATAATTTATATTACCTGGTAGTAATTATTTCTCCAATGTAGCATAGCTAAGGAGATGCCATGGGGCTAATTGGTTAGAGGAAAAAAGTCAGACTCTATAAAAAGCTGATGTTATAAAAGTTTTTATGTCCAAATGTAACACCAGTTGTTTTTTTCTTTATTAAAGCAGCTCCATGTTGAAAATGAAATTAAAGAATATATATATTGTTATAAACGAGCTGCCTGATTCTTCCCATGAGACTAAGAACATGATTTCCAGTGTTTTCAGATTGTGAATTCGCACCATCATAAATCCAAAATAATTTCTCATCAGCCTTCAAAGAACTTGACAAAGAAGGAGCAGACCGATTGCCAGCCCTCGCTGCAGTAAGCCTGCACCGGCTCCATGTCACTCTGCATTCCCTCCTCATCCTCGGCCTCAGTCCTTTCCTCCCTCCTCTTCTTCTTCTCCTCTGCCTCCTCTTCCTTCTTCTTCCTTTTGTCCATCCTTCCTCCTCCTACACTCTTACCAGCTGGTTTCTTCTTCCCTCCTTCCTTCCCTCCCTTCTTGTCGTCTTCCCCGTTGCGCTGAGCGAGCTTCATGTGGGCCTCTCCGGGCGCCTTCTTGCAGGTTTTGGCCTTCAGGACTTTTTCCCCTTCGCAGGCATTCTGCCTTTTCTTCAGCTTTCCCACCAGCTGCTTCCAGTACTGGCTGGACTTCACCCCATAGGCCTGGCAGAGGTCTGGTTTACCAGCGTAACGACACCAATACCTGCAGGAGGAGCACAAAGGCCAAAGTCAAGAGAGCTCCACAAGCTTGGCATGGTTGGACACCATGTGCACAGACCGTTATACCCAGTGTGTCCGAATGGTTTGAATGGTATGAGTCTCATAAAGCACTCGTCTTCTCTCTCCGAGCTCTTCAGTGGTTTAAATGACATTTCTGTACTGCTTGAAGTCAGCATTATAAGTAATATTTGAATGAATAATTCAAACATTATTTACTAAGATTTATGGCAGGCAGCATGCTTCAAACTGTGCCACATTATGATGGTGGTGTGTGCACATGATGAGGCTCAGCGTCTCGCAGAGGCTTTAATCTGCAGGGTGGAGCATTTATATGGATACACCGTAATAACATGGGAATGGTTGGTGATATTAAAGTCCTGTTTGTGGCACATTAGTATATGTGAGGGGGCAAACTCCTCAAGATGGGTGGTGACCATGGTGGCCATTTAGAAGTCGGCCATCTTGGATACAACTTTTGTTTTTTTTCAATAGGAAGAGAGTCATGTGACACATCAAACTTATTGGTAATGTCACAAGAAAAACAATGGTGTGCTTGGTTTCAACGTAACTTTATTCTTTCATGAGTTATTTACAAGTTTCTGACCACTTATAAAATGTGTTCAATGTGCTGCCCATTGTGTTGGGCAGCACACTGGGCATGTTATTACGGTGTATACATATAAATGGCCCACCCTCTATATAACTGCACTTTTTGTATGTAATGCTGAATGCACTTCTGAATAGATCCTAATGGACTTTAATTGTCTTTGTACCTGTCAAGTTTAATCTAATCAAATTTATCATTAAAGCTGAAAAAGGAGGAGGAGAATCTGAGTACAGCCCATAAAGAAATCTGCAGGAAGCACAAAAGCATCCGTCTTTTCTCAGCAGTGCGCACACAGCGAGCTCTGAAACATCAGAATCGGTTATGGAGTAGTGATTTGTCTTTACGATACACTGGACTCAGGCAAACCTGGACTGTGTTACAATTATATCTGAATTTTACAACACAAGTTACTGACTGTAACTAATACCTGCAGCCTCACAAGCGAGCGAAAAGAGCACTGAGGGCATTTGCACATGTCAACTGATTTCTTTTAATGTAACCACATTTAAAAATAATGGTTGTGACTGAAGTTCTGTATTAAAAGAATAAAACAACAATAAAATAAATATAAGTTTTCAAATGGATTTTAAAAATATCAATAACACTAACTTCATTTAGTCGGGATCTGTTGGTAAAAATCATGTTTTGTGTTCTTCATTCTACACATCAGGCAATATGGGACACTTCGTTGTAATAAGGCACCCTGAGCCTAATTCATACAGAGAACAACAGCTTCAGAGACCGCACACGTCCCTGATTGTCAACACAACACATGTGAGTACATATGGATTCGTCGTTGATCTGATCTGTCCTGCTCTTTCAGAAACACACTCGTCTGTTCGTGCACTACTCGCTGTCAGCTCATTTTTCACACTAATTTCCGCTGCTATCAGTAGACTTTGTTGGTCATTACTGAAATTAATTGTCTGCATTTTAGGATTTAAATTAACTGGAAGTTAGTGAATCACCTGCAGAGCTTTCCACTCCCACTTTAAAAGTGAGTGCAAAAACTTCTTTCCTTTTTCTACAGTCGTGTGTTCACATTGATACTCTGTACAAAGCCTTACCAGGAAAATAAGGTCTCACCTCATTTCCATAACAAAAGTGAAGCTTAAGAAATCAAGTCTATATCTATTAACATGAACTAACGAGGACTTTGTCTCTTTAAGTGGAAATAAACACTGAGTCGTCTGAAACAAGAGCAAAGCACCAGTATGAATGTTTAGTCAGAGGATTTATAATTCACCTTTGCAGGTCTCCTTGTGCTTCAATGCTGCAGTTCACCAGCAGGCTCACCAGACCTTCACCCGATGTCTGCCAAACACAGCGATGCCCCTCCTTGGTGGTCAGCTCTCCGGAGCCTGGCACGGAGCGATTTCTGGGTCTCTTGGCCGGTTGAGGTGATGGAGGAGGCTGACGGGGTTTGTCAGGCTTCTCCTGCCCTGGTTGGCGTTTGGCTTCAGTGAGGATGGGGACGAATAGGAGGAGGACGAGGACACAACATGGCAGGGCACTCATTGTGGCTGTTCAGGGAAGGGAAGAAAGGTTATGAAAGCTGTTAAGTATTTAGAAGCACTTTTAAGCTGGAATTAAATTCATGTTGGAGAAAACGGCAAAAATGGTAGCACCAGTTAATTTTAAGACAATCGAACTAAAGGTCACAGGAAAGAGATGATTACTAGACTTTGTGCCAGCTGGACAGCCATCATGTCATTGCAGCTTTATGTAATATTCTTGAGTGTAAGCTATGTGCTAGGTGACATAATCACAACCCTTATCAGCCAACTGGAGGAGGAAGAGGAGCACAGCTGATGGCTGAAGTCACAGCACAGTCACAGTTTGTGTAAATGTTAGAACCTCCAGTCTTTCTGGACACCAACTTTACATCCCTGAGCAGGAATTTTCATCTGTCCAGTCTGACATTTACTCAGTCGTGTCCCCGTGAACATGAAATAAAAGTGTGTCCTTATTTAAAATGGGAAAGAAATTATATTTGGGGATTGGAGGGATGGCCGACCATGGGACTGGTGGCATTCTTGCTAAACAATCTAGGTATTAAAAGCTTGTGAGTTGGACAGGAGAAAGATCAGGCTTTTGGGCTGAAAGGCAACAGTTGCCACTTCTTTTAAAGCTCTGGTTTCTTGGTTCCACTGAGCTTTGTGTGTCCAAAACACCTGTTTCTGACACCAAATAAAACTCCTGCTGCTATAACTTACTGATGAGACTTCCACAGAGCCATAAAAATCTGTGCTGTTGTGAAAAAAAGTTTGTATCCTTTAAAACAAACAAATAGATTTCCTTCATATTTTCCTGTGAGATGAGAATATTCAGTCATATTTTTAGACCTGAACAGGAAGTCGTTTGGTTTTCTTCATTTTTCATTGCTCAACAATGAGCCATCATCAGGAGAGTCCACAGTGTGTTGGAGAATCGCCATGATGTACCTCGATGACACGGAGTCGAGTATTTTTCAGTGAAGCTGAAGTTAATTTTGCAAATACAGACGTGTATTTGTCTGAATTTGTTTCCATTTGTCTGTGTAAAGACTTCACAATCTCTCTGACTGAAGCTTTGTTTGATGTGTGCTGTGAATACGTCTCAGCACAGCTGTAATCTGTAATAGTAAGCAGCACTATTCTTCATATTTCATAACCGTGTGCACAAAGGACAAGATGTCTGTAGTCTGTCTATGGTCTGAGTCTAACCTGTTACATTTAGGTAAATAGTGTGTTGGACAGAGTCGAGAGTGTATTTGCCAGCATTTATGATCTGATGATAATTTAGCTTTTCGGAAAGTTTCACGCTAGCCTTTCCTTTAACTGTTAATCTTTGAAGTAAGGAAATAAAATTAAAACCAACAGTAAGTGCTTTTATTTGCTGCTTTAAGCTTGTCTACATGTGTAAACATTGAATGAGACTCGGGGGCTGTAAGCAGAGCCACTAAAGAAATAAAAGCTTCTTCTATCTTTACTTTCTGGTAACTTCTTGCATCAACCCATAAAATGTATCTATCAAAGGACAAAAACAGATTTGTTTACAACTTTAAAATGAATTTTTGAATAGAAAGCACAATAAAAGTTTAATGACTGGTGCAACAGAACTGGGTCAGTGCACACTTCATCAGCACAGGAAGTTAGCATCGCAGCATATACAAAACTACGGATTCTACTCCAGAACATGTAAAACAGTTTAAGAGAGTTTCTCATCAGAACCCAAAGCACCAAGAAGTGCCAAAGAGCATCCGGACACATGAGTGTTAAGTGTTAACAAATGGACAATGGGCACTCAGCGGGGGGGTGAGTCTGTCGTTGGCTTATTGAAAATCAGCCAAGCGTCAGAAACACTCCACCAAGAGGAGTCCAGCCCGGACGTGGTGCTGTCAGCGAGCACTGGGGAGGCTTTCAGGACCCACCAGTACTTCCACATTTACTTTTGACGCATCTTTTCTTGCATTTTATTGTGAAAATTAAGCTTCAAAGTTTTTAAATAGACTCTGTTTTCAGTTTAGCTGCTACAAGCTTGATTAATCATGTTTCACAATTACTCTTCTGTAAACACAATCTAGATTATTAGAGGAATTACTCGCGTACATCAGGTCAGTGCAATAAAACAGGCTGTAGCACTGTGTGGTAATGATGCTTTTATATGACCAGAATGAGAGCCATTAATAATATTCATGTGTTGGAAATGGAAAATTAAATCAGCAGAGCATCAGGCTCCCGGGCCTCACGGCCGCTGTGATTTCCAGTGAGCCGATGCGTGAATTACAAGTGATGTGTGTGAGCGTGCACTCTCACACATGCTCAGTCACATCGCTCGCCAGATACAGTCAAAACACAAAGGTCGCCAAATTCTACCAGCAAGGTACAAATTAGTGTGTGATTACTGACGGCGAGGTCCACGTACAAAAAATAACTCAAGAAACACGTCAAGAAAATCTGACGCAGAGCCAGATTTTACCAGATGGACGTGAGTTTGACTCCATTTCAGTGCACAAACAAATAAAATTAGTAAACACTGTAGTTCAAGAAAGGATCCTAACCCGTCTCCCAGCTTCTAAAGTTCAGCATCACTTCTACTTTCTGCTGTTTGATTATTCAAAGACAAGCTGCTGCCAAAAATCCTCCCTTAAAGCCTCAGAAATAGAAAAACAATCATTCTTGATGATCCAAAATCCCACAGTCCACGTTCCTGTGGATCAACACCAAAGAGTCTAAAGTGACATTTCTGAATTGAACAAAGAGTTTCAGGATGCACAGCATTAGAACGGAGCAACGATTGTATGGTATTGTTTGGCTTTGAAAAACCTGGAGGAAAATAATAAAAGCATTTTTTCATAATCAAGACTTTGTGTATGGCTACACTTCATGCAGTTGTATGTTGACATGGCGCTCCCATATTTGTCTCCCTCACTTCCCTTTTTTTAACATCTTCAGGAACAAAAATGACACCAAACATCTGTTTTCACAGTAAGCGTCACGTTTCTGGAGATAAAAACAAAGTAAAATAATCCCCCCCCCAACCACCCCTCCCCTCCCTTTGCACCCTCATCAATAAGTCATGACAAAAAACAAAAAAAGACCTTTCTTTGTTGTGTCTAATATTTTCTCAGACAGTTTGAGGAAGCAGTGGAGATGAAGAGAAGGTTAGCTGTTGATGAGTGGAGGCTCGGTGCTCTTACCATGTGACGCTCTTCGGCTCCGAGTCGCTCTGAGACTGAGGGGGCCACAAACACTCGGATAAAAGAGGGGAGAAGAGGAGGATAAAGGAGGAGGAGGGAGGGAGGGAGGTGGGGTGGTTTGGGGGGGGGGGGAGACTGCTATACCAAGAAGTCTAAAAAACAAGGACACCTCCCACATTCTCCCCCCAAAATACATGTGTGAAAGCAGCACAATGGACACACTTGCCAAGGTCCCTCGCTCTGTGCCACGCTGACGACATTTTGAGGGTTTGGATGCATTGCTGTCATTCAGCTCGGGGAGAAAACGCCGCTTTGTTCCTAACTGGAGAGTTTTCTGTTGTAAGGTGCTTTACAAATTCATCCACTGCACAGTCCTCTCACATTTAACTCTAGGACTAGCTGTTATTGTTTAATGAATCTGTTAATTATCACGTATTAACATTTCTTACTGACACTGTGTGAATGTTTGTGGGATTACTTAAAAAACGAGCTCTGTCCTGACTTACTTTGGCCTTTTGTAGCCTGCAGAGAGTCGTCGATGTTTTGGGTGTGATGGAAATGAATGTGTGGCACAGCTGACTGTGTCACAGAAACATCAAGTTTGGGGTTTGTTTGAATAGAGCGTAACAGCTGAGACTGAGATAATCACTGATAAGAGACGTACATCTTTTATATACAGCTCATGTAATTACACTTCTTCCCAGTTTTCCAGCATCTCTTTGGTGTTTTTAAACCTTAACCCCAACAAACTGACTCCGTGTGCTGCCCACACACAGGGACACAGTCACTTCAGTTCAATTCAGTTTTATTTACAGAGCACCAAATCACAACAGTCGCCTCAAAGCGCTTTATATTGTAATATAGACCCTACAATAATACATACAGAGAGAAACCCAACAATCATATGACCCCTATGAGCAAGCACTTTGGCGACAGTGGGAAGGAAAAACTCCCTTTTAACAGGAAGAAACCTCCGGCAGAACCAGGCTCAGGGAGGGGCGGGGCCATCTGCTGTGATTGGTTGGGGTGAGAGAAGAGCTCACCCCAGAGTCAGACAGTGGGAAGGAAAAACTCCCTTTTAACAGGAAGAAATCTGGGAAAACCCGACGGATCTTTTACAATTCAACCCTGATCAGTGCTTTAGCTTTCTTTAGTCTCTAACCTGTAACAGAAACATGTTTTGGTGCTGCTGGGATTTTCTTTCAGGACGTTACAGAGCAAACAGTGTGTGAACGGTCTGCGAGCAGTTATAAATGCCTCGAGTTCAGCCAGAGCCCTTATGGGGTGCTGGACCACAGTTTGGGACCCACTCGCCAAAGCAGGGCAAGACAAATTTATTAGTACAGAAGTTTTTTGTCACAAGGAAAGTGCTTCACATAATAAAGACATAATGGCATGAATAAAAGATTTAAAGTGCACACAGGGTACCAAGAAAATAATCCAATATAAAAAGCTGTTTTAGAGCTGTTAGCTTCAGTCATCAACATTGCTTTACCAGGTGACGACTGAACGGTTCATTACTTATTAGAGTGTAAAAAGAATCAAGGAAAGAAAACATAATAAAGCTGCTCATCATCTGCTCTACTCGCAATGCCACGATTAAAACTTTCAGGATATTCTGTGTTTATTTTTCCCGCCGAGCCCTCTGAATGATGACATGTTGCTTATTGCAATAAAAGCTTGTATAAGCAAAATAATACATAACAGTTCATCCTTACTTACTCATTTCTTATTCATACTGAATCTTGAAAGAGAAAGTATTACAGCATCACTACACCCTTATTCCAAGCTAAAACATCTGCCTGGAATAAAACTTCGTATGTGGAAACAAATATTTTGTTCCTTCTGAAGCTGGTTGTGACTTTAACCGATGCACATCCAGAAATCCGTGCAACACAGACCAGCAGTGATTTTAAAAGAGGAGAGTAAACAAAGAATGCAGCGGTGACTGGTTTGAAGCTAAACTGCATGCATCTGCAGAATGATCTATAATGCATGCAAACTCAGAGTCATTTATTTCGTTTTCTGCCGGCCTGAGTCTGTCTCTCCTCCCCTCTGTCACTGTATTCATAACGCGAATTCAGCCCTCGGCGAGATGAATGAGGAGAATCTTCTCTCCTCTCCAGGACAAAGGCTCGTGCAGGAATCTGGGTCACAGCTTAACCCCCTGCTGGCACTCTTGTCATCACTGCCCAGCTCCTTCTCATTCAGCACAGGGGTTGGTGGAGCTCTGAGTGCGCCTCTCTCTTCACCCCTGCGAGCGCTGCCAAAAATCCTCTTGGCCAAAGAAGGACACTCTGAAAAACAAGTCGACCGTGCCATGACTACGCCGTTCCGCCCGGTCTGGGCCAATCAAGAACAAATTTGTCACCTTGTTTTCGGTTATAAGTGCTCCTCGAGCCGAGCGGCGTCGCTCTGATCTGCATTGTTTACTCGAGTTTTAACAGAAGCAGCTCAGTGTGTCAGCGTTTGTGTGCAGTGAGGATGAATAATTTATAGAGGGATGATCCATCTTCCTGCGTTATTTTTAGGGCTTTGTTTGTCAGCCAGAGACTTTTTAATATATATTTTCAATAAAATAAGGCCAAATAGAAACCGTAGTCTGCACTCTGTAAAACTACTACTGTGTTCAAATATTTGATTAAAAGGAAATGCGATTTGTTTCATTTTCTTAGCAAACCTTTAGACAGAAACATTCTGGCATATTTTGACTTTGTCAGGTTGTTCTGGTCAGTGTGTTAATTGCTAACATTTACATTCACAGTGCTCTCTCTCCTTTTAGCTTTGATTTGTCTTATATATAATTCTTCAGCTTAGCCACCCATTAACCACTCATCTCAAAATAAGTTCTGTATCTAACCTCACTAACAAAGTTGCCCAGTCTGTGGTCAAATACATGAGTCCAAGCAAAAACACCCTCAGCTGACAGCGTGATCACAAAGGCAAAGGAAAGTCTAAGCAAGGCATAAAAACTGACGGCAGATGACACAAGAGGCAAATCCACATTTAAACAAGTTAAACTAACTTTGCAGAAAAACTCACTTCCCTTTGCACTGTGAAAACTCGTCAGCTGGGATTTCTCCAGCAATCAGAAATGGAAGACGAGCTTCTTGATGTCATTGGAAGGCAGCTGAAGATGCATTGCTCAACTTTACTCATGGATAGAGAAAGAGAGAACAAAGGAAGGGCCTGGAGGAAGGTTAGTGATATTTTAAGACTTCACAGTAAGTTGTGAAAATATATTAATATAACTTCAGCAGACCCAGGAGCCTAATCTCTTCCTGGTCTTCTTGTTGGCTGTTGGGAGTGAATGATTGTCAGTTTCCAGTGCAGAAGCAAGCAGCCACATGTCACATGGCCTTTTGCTGCAAGTCTTCCACTTTCCTGTCTGTCTTCACTGCTCTGCTATCCAATAAAGGCAAAATGCCCTCAAATAATCTTTAAAGCATAACAAGCAAAAAAGCATAATTCTAAACTGCAGACTGTGCAGACACGCTGTCACTGTGGAGCATCATAAGTCTGACATGTGATTCAGCAGACACACAGTCTCGGTGTTGGGAGGTTAGAGAGTTGGCAGTGGTATAAGTTATACGTTCATTTTCACCAGCACGAACAGTTTCGTGCAGATGGAAATGAGCTCATAGCTAAATGTGGTACAATGCCATTATGTATTTTATGCACTGAGCCTTCTTCAGTTTGACACAGTTTGACCTCCTGCACCACAGCCGATATTTAAACATGTATTAGCAATGAAGTAACATATTTATTTATTAGGATTTGATCTTTATAAAGACTTCATTCATTCAGCATTAACATGTTTCTAGCACTTCTACTTCCTGGAGGAAGTATCTGTGTCTTCTGCATATACAGTTCAGCTGTCTTCACCAGCCAGTGTCTGACTGTGTCTCCTGTGTGTGTTCAGCAGGCCTCGTGCAGCCCAGAGGACAACAACCAGAACAGAAACTTCAAACACTTAAAATAAAGGATTGTTAGAGCTGCTTTAAATATGCATCACAGGGGAGGGCGAGGGACACAGGAGGTCAGAGAGAAAGTCAGACCTTGGTAAAGTACAGCGACGGGCACCGGTCTGTTCTGTTGTGTCCTGCACATGATGAAGTGCCAGGAGCTGAGAGCCCCTCTGTGTTATCCACATTTATTATGCATGTGCTGCTGGGACTCTGCTGCCTCCTACTGGTCGTTTCTGGAAACTAACAAAGAATTGAGAGCTGGTCATTGGTTACTATAAAACATGTCAGAACATAGTAACACAGCAGTCATTCATGTTCTGCATGAAATCACTCCGATACACATTTTTATGCTGTAATAAAAGTTTTTCAAGTACTTACATGGAACCTCTGCTGGAACAGTAGGAATATTCCTAAAGCTTCCTATAAACATGCTTTTATTCCTGCTGGCAGTAAGCACATTTCTGACTCACTATGCTGCACAAGCCTCGATTAAAACACCTGTTGCCTATTTTAACCTCTTCTCTCTGACCAGTTTTCAGTCTCCAGTTAAGTAAGTGTGTGTGTGTGTGTGTGTGTGTGTGTGTGTGTGTGTGTGTGTGTACCGATGATGACTTTGAGTCCTTGACTGCAAACAGAGGCGTCCACTTTCTTGTTTTGAGCAGTTGTTGAGAGACAGCCGCAATCAGCGCTCCACCATCATCGTCACCTCCTCTGCTGTGATTACTGCCGTGATTATGACACCAAACACTGACCTTCAGACTGTGTGTGTGTGTGGCTGAGGAACGTGAAAGAGATGAGAGTGAAGAAGAGCCGACTCTCATTGAAAACCCATTTGAGAGAGCTGCTGGCATGTTTAAACTGCTAATGATGGGAAGGATGAGCTCGGCTGAATTCGTTTAGACTCCCTGTCCTGTCTTTTTATTTGCACATTAACACATTTTGTATATGAATCATGCAGAAAGCAGCGACTGCACAGTCCAATCAACTTGACGTGTGGTTTATTATCCAGGGAAAATTTGTTTTCCCAGCTCAAAAAATTAAAGTTCTTCATTCACCAAATGTCAACATGATCTGAAGT